CCCAGCAAAATGCCTCTTTCCTCCCCAGGAAATAACAGAGATGGAGAGGCGACCTCAGGTCAGGGGCCAGGGAAGTGTGAGTTCACAGAGAATCGTGGGGCCTTTAATAGTTTAAGTATTTCACTGGAAGACGGAGGGGATCTCCCAGAGCCAAATGGTGATGGTTCAGGCTATGCTAATGTGTCCCCGAGTCCCTGGGAGGAAGTGGCACAGGGAGAGATAACTCCACATACACCCCCCCCTTCCCTCCCCGCCTGCTCCTTTGCAGTTTCTGCTATACTTTTCCATTCTAGGCAAGGGCAGAGGTTGGCCCGGGAGGTCTCGGGCAGGTTCTGTGAGTTACCAGGGGCCCAGAACTGTACGAAGGGTCCTTAGGATGAGGCTCTGAGACAGGACTGCCGGACTCCATCATTCAGTGTCCTGGGCCCCTGGACAGCCTCATCTTCCCATGCGTTTGATATGGTCCCGTCTCACAGGACCAACTGTGGAGAGAATTCAATCCTATAACCATGTAAAGCTCTTAATACATATGTTTACGTTGAATGAAAGTTGGCTATTATTAGCTCTAGAACAATAAAAATATTATTCATAATATTTACCTAGCTATACAATGTGCATATGATAATATAATTATTAGATAAATAATCATGAGGCCAGATGCATGAAAATTCATGCACTGGAAGGAGGGGGGTGCCTCAGCCTGGCCTGCCCTCTCTCACACCTCTGCTGCTGCCATTCCCGACAGTGCAAGTCTCGGCCTGGTTACCTGGGCAGCCACCATTTGAGGCTTGCCTGCACCTCGGGCCGGCCCTGGGGGGCTGGGGGACTGAGGGGCTGGGGGGACTCCAGAGGCAGGCACACAGAGCAGCCAGACCTGCCAGGGGGAGGGCCAGGCCATGCCATGCGCCTGTCGCCCAGGCAGGGCTGAGGGGACTGGGCTTCACCATCTATGGCAGTGGGCACCACCATCTTTGAGGGTGTGGCAGTTAATTAGCATATTCCCTCTTTATTATATAGGGATGGTTATTATATAATAAAAAGTACCCATAGTTATTATACCTCCTTTCTTTCATACCCCCGCTCCCCCATGGTGGCCAGTACAGGGCTCCGCTCTGAGCCCTAGCAGGTGGTGTTGACCAGAGCTGTAGGGAGGAGGCTATGTAAACTTAGGGAAGAACCGAGAAATTGCTTTTCAGTCCAAAGATTCTCTGCCTCCCTTTAGATGCCTGCTTTGTGGGGTGAGTACTTGTTTGAGAATCAAAATTGGATTTCAGGCCCTTAATTCAATAGCTAACACGGGATAATGGCAAGAAAACAGGGTTTGCAGCCAAAGATGGGTTTGAGTTACATATGGGTCCACCCAGGACGTTGAATTACAGCTAGGTCTACTGTTTGACCTTGAATTACACCTCAGACCACTTTGTCATCTTGAATTACCACTGTGTGACCTTGAATTACACCTGGACCTACTGTTGGCCCTGAATTACACCAGGACACAGTGTGACCTTGAACTATACGTTGACTCAGTGTGATCCTGAATTACACCTGGACTCAGTGTAACTCTGAATTACATCTGGGCCCATTGTGTGACCTTGGCCATGTCACTTCATTTACCAGGGCTCGTATCTGTGTTCCTGGGGTCTTGAGCTGGAAGCAGAGGCCACAGAGTCTGTCCCATGGGGTGAAGAGAAGTGTGTCTCTCCCTCCACTACCACCCTCTACCCTCCTCAGCCTCTCCATCCACAGCACCTCAATTATCTCTCTCTGGAGAGTGACACTTGGCTTACGATTCTGTTTGAAAAAGCATCCCTTTGATTTAAAAGAAAAACAGGGGGGTTTTGCATCTTGTATTTTTTTTCTTTTCATGTCTTGTATTGAATGTGTAAAAATTAAAATTAAACTTTAAAAAATTGTCAGTTAAAGCACTAGCCATTTCCTTTCCGAAAATAATTTGCAAATCCCTCATTTTGGGTGGTTTTGTGAGACTGTCTTTGTGACCCTCTTCCCCTCTTCCCCCAAACATCCTTCCCAGAGAAAAGCTAGAGGACCCCAAACACACTGAGAATGAGCAGCAGATGCTCGGATGGGAGATCTGGAGACCACCGCCCCTCCAGGCAGGCCACTCCTATTCTCCCATGCCCTCAGGCTGCGGTCTGTGGTCCTCAGGTTTAATCTGGGGGGCTCCTCTGCCTGCTCCAACTCCTGGCCCGGAGACACCCTCCACCGTGACACGGGGACTACTCGGGGTCCCTGCCAAGGCCTGCTTCCACACAGCGCTCCTCCCAGCCTGCCTGCCTCTGGAGCCTGTTTCCATGGCAACAGTCCTCTTCTCCCTCGGGGTACCACCGTCAGGCTGGGGTATCTCTCAGTCCAGGACTCACCCAGCCCCACCCCTTCGGCCCCTTGGGATGCTTCCTGCGCCCAGCTCTCTAGTTATGCTCACCAGCAGCAAGAAGAAGCAGGACTGGGAGGGAAGTGGGGGAACCAAGGAGAAGGTTATCCTTTCAGGGGTCCCCATCAACGGACATTTCTGAGGACTTGAGCCCCATTTCGGAGAAGGCCTTCTCGGTCTGACCCCTCTGCTCCCCGCTGGCAGCTTGATCGTTTTCTCTGATAGCACACTCGCCGGCAGCTCTTTTGAGAACGATTTTGGGATAAAGGATGAGCTGAGAAATCATCATCAGAGCCCAGGGAAGAGCCTCAGCGTGTTCTCTCCCCACCCCATCCCACTATGTGGCTTCTGCACCCCCTCCCCTCCCCTCCTCTCCCTTTCTCTTCCCTCCATCCCTCTCCCCTTTCCTCCCCCCTTCCGCTTCCCCCTCCTCCTCCTCTCTCTTCCTCTTACTTCCTCTCCAGACCCCCTCTTCTCCCGCTCTCCTCACCAGGCCCTCACCCTCTTGCTCCTTCTCCCACCTCCTTCCTCCTCTCTCTCGTCTCTTCCCTCCTTCTCACTCTTGTTTTGGTGCCAGAGACCGTCTAATTACAAGAGAGAAACAGAAGAGACGGGGAGGGGGGAAATAACCCCGCCACACACAGCTGATTAAAACGTCCTGTGAAATCTAATTGGTAAAGCTCGGCTCGGAATAAAAAAGTGCTTCTCCCACGATTCGGCGCCAACGTGATTGTTAATGAGGCTCCTCAGAGACCAGCCAAGATCTCATCAGGTGGTGGGCCCAGCTACCTGCCAGGCACACGGACTCCGTCTCCTCCAAGGGGCGCTGCCACGCATGCTGCCCCGGGCCTGCTCCCCTTGGAGCTACACACCAAGCAGCTCCCTCTCGGTGGCCTGAGCCTGGGCCCTTGTGTCTCAGACCTGGGGGCTACCCTGATCCTTCCTGGGAGAGGAGAGGCCAGGCAGCAGCCCAGCCAGGCCCAGCTTTCCTGGGCTGTCAGCAGCTGCAGAGCAGGGTGTGGGGGAGAAGGGGTGCTTGGGAGTCAAAGGACCTCAGCTCAAACCCCTGCTCCATCATTCATCTGCTGTGTGACCAAAGGCAGGTTCCTTGGCCTCTCTGATCCTGATGTCTTTGCAGGAACATGGGGCTATTTCCATCCTGCGATGTAATTCCGTAGGAGGGAAGGCATGTGAGGCATGGTCGCACTGCAGCAGGAGCTCAATAACTATCATTGCCCTGTTGTCCATGCATCGGGGCCTCCCGGGATCGCGGTCACAGCTCCCCCTTCTTGGCAACTTTTCCAGGGCCAGGCTGAGGGATCTGCACGCAACATGTCTCTGGAGCCCAAAAGGCTTATGTCTGCAGCCTCATCCTGCCCCTAGACCAGTGGTCAGCAAACTCATGAGTCCACAGAGCCAAATATCAACAGGACAACGATTGACATTTCTTTGGAGAGCCAAAATTTTTTAAACTTAAACTTCTTCTAAGGCCACTTCTTCAAAATAGACTTGCCCAGGGCCGTGGTATTTTGTGGAAGAGCCACACTCAAGGGGCCAAAGAGCCGCATGTGGCTCTCGAGCCGCAGTTTGCCGACCATGGCCCTAGATGCACCGAACAGTTCGGTTAGCCTCTGAGGCTCCAGTTCTTAACCCTGTGAAACGGGGTAATTAAGGGCCACTGTCGGGGGGCGGGGGTGTGCAGGGAAGGTGCAGGCGGCACCTGGTCTGTCGATAACCACTGCCCTGTGACTACCTTGCACCTCCTGGTGCCTCATCTGGTTGGTTCGGGGATGAAAACATTAGTGAGCTAACGTTGTAAGTCCTAGCACAAGCCTGGCGTGTTTGATAAACTAGGGACTAGCTGGCTTCAATGGCTCGGTGCCACCTCACTGAGGTATATGGGGGGAGAGGGGGCATAGGGTCACAGTCCTGGCTTTCTCCCAGTGACAGTGAGGATGCGGAAGGGACTGCTGCAGAAAGGAAAGGGACAGGCTGATGTGTGGATGTGAGACCTGCTCCCTCGTGCCACATACACCCCACCACCACCACCACACTGCACCCCACTGCCCCTCCCTTCCTTCCCCCCCTCCATGAACTCGGCCTGAGGCCCTTCCTGAGCCACTAACACAATACTGTTTCCTGGCTTCTCAGATTTACCCATAGCTCACCACTCCACTCCTGCTGCCCTGAAGCACACCCCGCTCAGAATGCTGCGGGACGGGGGTCTCAGGGTCTCTGTCCTGCGTGGAAGTGGGTACCAGCAAGGGGTGTCACGTAAGAGTTAGCCAGATGGAAAGGGAGAGGCGTGTCCCAAGGCCAGTGAGTGGCAGGCACAGCCTGTGGGGGATGGAAGGCTGGACCAGGTGTGGGTGTAGGGAGGTTAGGGATTGATGGGGCTCCAGTGGGGACCCAGCTCTGAAACAGGGGATTAAGCCAGGGGGGTGGGGAGGAGGCATGAGGAAGTCGCTGCTGGGCCCCAGGCAGGATAGAAGGTGCTCTGGGGGGTGGGGACCTGTCCCCTGGGCCAGCCTGTCTCCCTAAAATGAGGAGAAGCCCTCCAGGCACTGCTCCCTGCACTAACAGGCCGTTCTGCTTGTCTCCTCCCCAGGCCACGTGTACTCCTTCAGCCAGCAGCCCCAAGACCAGGCCGTGGTGTCGGGGCAGCCGGTGACACTGCTCTGTGCCATCCCGGAATATGACGGCTTCGTGCTATGGATCAAGGACGGCCTGGCTCTGGGCGTGGGCAGGGACCTCTCGAGTGAGTACCCCCAGACCTCCCCCGGAGGGCCTGGACCCCGCCCCTGCCTCACCCTCCCGTGCACCTCCAGCTGTCCGGGCAGGGCCACGGGCAGAGTCAGGCGAGGCGAGGCGAGGCCGGGCCGAGGGTCCCACGGGCTCTAAGGGCCCCTCTGACAACTGATTCTGACCTCGCACTAAGCCCTCGACCTGGTGACGGGTCCAAACCCAGCACAGCCTCGCCCAGGAGGGTCCATTCCAAATCAGAGATGATTCAAGTCAAGTCCGATTTCCAGAGGTCAAGTGTTCCTGTGTCTCGGACCAGAGTAGATTCCCCTCTTCAGTCACCACCTGGCTCTTCCTGTCCATCAGCGGGAGCCAAGTGGACGGACAATTCACCAAGATACCTGGCGGCTTCCGGGGTCGCCGTGGGATGGGAAGAGAGTGGATGAGACAAAGTCCACACCTTGCTCAGCCCACCCAGCCTGGGATGTATTCAGGGCGCCCTGGTGGGTGGCTCCTGAAGCCACTGAGGGCTGGCATCAGGGCGCCCCGGTCGGGCGGCACCAGGCCCTGTCATCTGTCGGCTGTTGTGAATGTCAACCCTTAAGCCCCTACAGATGTCTCTCTGATCCCTCCTCTAATCAGGAAGAAAAAGAGTGGACTCCCCCTCCTGGCCACTCCCCACCAGCCACTGGGGAGGCGGGAGGCGTGTGACTGCCGCTAGGTGTGGCAGAAGCTGTAAAAATCAGCCAAGGGATCTGGGGGTCCCTGCGGTGGGGGAATGGCGAGGGGGGAGGGGGAGAGGAAACGGTGGCCTCCCCTGGTTTACAGCCTCAGGAAAGTCCCTGGAAGCGCACTCCGCAGCGTGATAGCAGGGCGGTGAGGGGAGATGAATGTTTTAAAGTGTGAGTTATGGGCTCGCCAAAAAACGGATATTGAAACATGACAGCCATGGTCAATAGCAACACGGGGTGTGAGTGCCACAGCCCAACTGAGCATCGATGAAACACAGTAATATCCCCCAAAATATATGGGGCTGCCATCAAACCTAAGGATTGTGGGAACCAGCCATGTCCAGGGACTCTGCTCCCTCCCCCTGGGGACATTGGGGGAGGGTATGTCCTTCCCAAACAGGACTCCAGGTTGCTCTGCGTGTCTCTGAGCTTGTCCCAGGGGTACTGCTGGCTAAGGAGGCCCCAGGCAGTGGTGAGTCTGGAGTCTGAAGCTCTGGTCTCGTTGAGCCGGTGGCCAAGGAGGGCCCAGGTCACCCTGGATGGGTCCTGGACTGGCCCTCCCTACACAGACCCCTGAGCCTCTGGCATTGGTGCCCATGAGTGGCCTCCTGGGACCCAGGGCCGGGTCCTGCTCGGTGCTGAAAGCCAGCGGGCTCTGGTGAACCGGCGTCTGCGGCCCCTCTGGTGTGGCTCCATTTATAGGAAGAAGGCTGGCACTTACCTTGCAGCGCCCGTGAGCTCAAACTCCCCATAAACTGTTTCCCCTGCCTTTGATCGCCTGTCCCCAAGGTCGCATCATGACCGCAATGACAGGTTCTTGCAAGCCCAGTAAGTACTGATGAGAAAGTGAGAGAAACAGGCCTAATCCACGTCAGCAAGTATTTCCTGTGGGGAAACGGAGGCTCGGCCTTGTGTCAGCCTGTGTTGCGTCTACCGGGAGACGGGCCCTAACTGAAGAGCTCACTGTCTCTCTGGTCACCACGGCTGAAAAGATATTTTTTAAAATATATTTTATTGATTTTGTAGAAAGGAAGGAAGAGGGAGAGAGAGTTAGAAGCATCGATGAGAGAGAAACATCAATCAGCTACCTCCTGCACAACCCTACTGGGGATGTGCCCACAACCAACGTACATGCCCTTGACTGGAATCGAACCTGGGACTCTTCAGTCCGCAGGCTGACACTATCCACTGAGCCAAACCGGTTTCAGCTGGGGAAAAAAATTTTTTTCGTTTTTTTAAAAAGTCAAAGAGATGTATAAATATACTCCCTCATATTAATAGAACATTTTTCTTCTAAGAAGCTCCGATATTTTCTCATAAATACGCAGCGATCCACAAGGAGAAAGAGAAGGATTTCCCCCTTTCTGTGACAGGTAAACAGAGTCACCGTGGAGAAAGAAGTTGATTCAAACATACACCAACCCCCAAAAGGCCCAGACGCCGGGTCAGTTCTCACTTAGAAAGACTGAACCTCTTTGCTGCCCCACCGCACGGTCCCTTCCCTTTAAACCGGCATTTACAGTTTATTTCCTGCGTGCCGGGCCCTTTACCTAGATTGTCCTGCGTGATGGTCACCAGAACCCTGGGAGGTGCGAGCATGTCCCCCTTTACTGACAGCAGAAGCACGAAGGAGTAAAAGCAGCTAAACCCAGGCAACGCGGGGAGGAAGTGGCCAGCTGGCATTACACCCAGGCAATCTGACTGCAGACCCCAGGCTCCCAGTCATTTTCATCCCCTGAGGGAGCAGGAGAGAGCGAGCGAGGATGCTAGAACGTCCTCCCACTCCCCTCAGCTTCTGGGCTGATGTTTTCTGAAGATGCTGCCAGGCCCTGGGACAGCATCACAGCTCTGCTGCCTAATTAGGCAAACACAAACAAACCCGTCACTGCTGTTTGCAGCAGCTCCTGAGAGCGAAGCCGCGGCTGATCGCTCGCTTGCAAGACAACAAAAACACAAGCTTAGCCAAGCCGCCTGCCTGCGGGAGAGCCGAGAGCTGGGCCTCCTCGCAGGACACCGAGATCCGGGGGCCGGGCCGAGGGCTGGAGTGGGTAGCACTGAAGGCGGAGGTGGCGGCAGGGGGAGGACTTGGCTAGGAGCCACTTCCAGCCATTCACTCACCTGGGTTCCTTCCCGCAGCCCAGCAGAGGTCAGGAAGGGCAGGCAGGACACAGCTGCTTGCGCTGTGAGCCTCTCTGGCCAGGCCTGACAGCTGTGGAGGGCAGGGACAGTGCTAGTCATGAAGATGAAGCACAAGGAGCACCCCTAAAGCATCCTGGGAAACCTGCCCCGCCCTCAGCTTATGGAGGTGGAAGGGGCCTTGGAGCATCCATTTTTTTGTTTGTTTGTTTTTTGGGGAGGTTTTTTATATATTTTTTGATTGATTTTTTTACAGAGAGGAAGGGAGAGGGATAGAGAGCTAGAAATATCGATGAGAGAGAAACATCTATCAGCTGCCTCTTGCACACCCCCTACTGGGGATGTGCCCGCAACCAAGGTACATGCCCTTGACCGGAATAGAACCTGGGACCTTTCAGTCCACAGACCGACGCTCTATCCACTGAGCCAAACCGGTTTCGGCAAGGGGCATCCATGTTTTAATCAGGGTAGACATCGCCTCTGCAGTGCCCCCCGACAGATGATCTTACAACCCTTGCTTGAATACAGCCAGTGACGGAGACCTCACTCTGACAGGCCAGAACTGGTGGGACACCTCAGACTGTGAACAGTATTCTAACACCATTTCCCCGTGACCTAACGGTCAGGGTGGGAGGGTCCTCTTTCCTGGGTCTGGGCCCATAAGTGCTCATGCTGTCCTTGTGAGGCACAAAAGCACAGCTCCCCCACTCTCGTATCATGAATGTCCCCTCCGCCCCTGGACCAGCGCCCGTGACATGCCTGCTGTGTTGTGCCCACAGGTTACCCGCAGTACCTGGTGGTGGGGAACCACCTGTCGGGAGAGCATCACCTGAAGATCCTGCGGGCAGAGCTGCAAGACGATGCCGTGTATGAGTGCCAGGCCATCCAGGCCGCCATCCGGTCCCGCCCGGCGCGCCTCACTGTCCTGGGTAGGAACCCAGCGCGTGCGCGCATGGGGCAAGGGTGCTCTGGGAAAACCTGGTGCTCAATTCCAGAGGGTTCCCTCAGGGACCTCCTGCCGGGCACAGCCCCAGGCATTGACCCCAGGGCTCTGGCCACACCCCCATGGGTCAGTAACCCCGGCCCTGGAAATCAGAAGACCAGTGCCACCTTCCTGTGACCTTGTCCACCTCCAGTGTGTCTATCCGGCTGGGAAGCACATAGGGCTCTCAGAGGCTCACGTATTCGATCGATCAGAGGACATTTTCTGTGGAATCTGGGCCCTGGGCTGGGCGACGGAGACAGAGAAGTCTGGGACACAGCATTGAGTCACTTCCTTCTGGACTTGACCTCCCTCAGGGTGTCAAGGTCGCCACTTCCCCATCAGAATCCACCTGGAGCTGGCCTGGCCCTGTGATGTCAGCATCATAGGGACCACCACTGCCCATTCCTTCCCCTTTCCCTGCTCATGGGAGCCTGGGGCTGCCTCGGATAACTCAATTCAGGCTCTTAGTCCACATCAGACCTTTGCTCTTGGTCTCTCTTTATCTCAGCTTCCCAGGAGCCCAGTGTCCCTGGGACACCCTGCCTGAACAGGTGCCCCCTGCATGTCCCTCCCCCCGCCTCGGGCAGACCTGCCTACAGACAGGGAATGAGCTCACTACCTCTTAAGGTAAGGTGACCAGACATCCTGCTTTTGGCGGGACAGTCCCGATTTTTAACAAGTTGTCCCGCGTCCCGTGGCGTTTTAAAAAAGTCCTGGCTTTTGGAAAGAATCTTTTAAATCTTTTGGACTTTTTTAAAACGCCGAGGGATGCGGGACAACTTGTTAAAAATCGGGACTGCCCTGCCAAAAGTGGGACGTCTGGTCACCTTATCTTAAGGGTCACCTCCTCCCCCTGCAAGATCTTGCTGGCAACCATCTGCCTGGGAATAGAGCCTGGCACACAAGTCGTAGCAGCTCCATTTAGACAGCGACTCGCAAAGCATTTCCACTTCTCCTTCCTCCCTCTTTCGATGCAAGCCTGTGGGACAGGACTGTTGCCCCAAACGAGAAACCGAGGCTCCAAAAAGCATAGAGCCCAGCCCAGGGTCTGCCAGCCAGAGCTCTGTGCACCCCCTCACTGCCTCCTCAGGGAGCCTCTGCCAGCTGCCTGGGGCTCAGCAGCCAGAAGAGGGGACCCCAGCTCTGCCCTCCTATCTCTCGGCAGCTGCTGAGATGCTCCAACAACGGGGTCAGCGCCAGGGCGCTGCCTCCCGGCCCGGCAGATGAGGCGCGTGGCCACGCCGAGATGAAATATTTACGCGTGTGTCAGGTTATCTTCAGATCTACACAGCCAGCGTACAGGCAGATCCACCCACGCCCAGCAGACAGGCCCCAGAGGACCGCTTACCGCACTCGGAGCCTGGCTGCTGGGGACGGAGGAGGACCCAGGGCCAGGCCTAGAGCCGCCTGCCGCCTTTGGTCTCCTCTGCCCACCAGGAAAGGAAGGAGGGAAGCTAGCAGGTGGGAGGGTAGAAAGCCTGAGGCTTTGCCTCTCAGCATAACCATTATGGCTTGTCTCAGTTTCGGTCCTTATAAGGGAATTCCTTATATCACATGATCTCATGCATCTAGGGGAAATAATGAACAACATAAATTGATGAACAGAAGCAGACCTGGAGACAGAGAAGCAGCTATCAGACTGTCAGGCCTCAGAGGGAAGGTAGGGGAGGTTGGAGGCAAAGGGGAGAGATCAACCAAAGGACTCATGTGCAGACATATGAGCTTAACCAGAGGTCATGGACAACAGGAGATGGGCATACATGGGGAGGGGTTTGGGATGGGAAAGGGGAGATGAGGACAATTATGTGACACCATAATCAATAAAGAAATTAAAAATAATTTTTTTAATTAAAAAAAAGAAAGACTGGGGCTGTGTGGTCAGGAAGGGACCTTCTGGAAAGCGATCAGGGACGTGGAAGGGTGGGACAGCCATCGCCATCTCTCCTAGGACGGAAACAGTTATGGGGACTGAGGGGAGAGAAGAGGAGGACTGGGTGCCCAAAGCTTTCCTGGGGGAATTGCAAAATGCCAGGACAGATGTGCTAAGTGGAGCTGTAGAGTCTCCCTCTCCAGAGGGGACTCAGCCCCATCCTCTGAAGAACCCATGCCTCATGCAGGACCTAAAGGAGATGCAGATTATCTCCTCCTGACATGGCTGTCCTGGTAGCAGGCCTTCAGCAGGTCATCACCAGTGATTTGCCTCCTAATCTCACTGTGAGATTCCCAATGACTCCCACTGTGTCACGGGTGAGGGAAGCAAGACTCAGAGAGGCAATGGCCCTTGCAGGGGGTCACACAGCTTAGTGACACTCAGAATGAGCCCCAGATTTTCCAACTTGATGCCAAAGTTCTCTGCTAGCCCTCCGCGTCCTTAAATGCCAGTAGAATCCCCTTTATCTGGCTGGGGGTCCTACTTCTGAGAGCAGGGCCTGGGGGTCTCATCTGAACAGACTTGACTTTGTCTGGGGTCACATCTAAATGGCAGCTGCCCTCCCTCCCCCCTCCCTCTTTAGGGCCACTGCCTGGCACTGCCTCTGGGCACAGAGCTGGGTGGTGCAGGGATGATGTTTTATCCAAGTGCTAGTGGCCCGTGCATGGATTCCTGCACATTGAAAGGGAATTAATTAGAAGAAATATTTTAGTACCGCTATTCGCCCTTTCTCTATAATAGAAGTGCCAGCCAAATTCACGACCGACAATGACAGATCAAAACATACATGTGCAATTGGCCCCAGCGAAAGCTTTATATGTGCCATGCATGTTCGAGTCAACATTTATTTTGAAATTGCCAGTGCGAGTTATAGGTACCAGCTGGTCGGACGGTCCGATGGTTGGACAGACAAATGGATGGACGGATGGTCACTTAGCCTTTTATATATATATAGATGGGGGTCTGTTGAAGAGGCAGAAGGGGGAGTTGCCAGGGGCCCCAGCAGGATGCTCTGGGTAAAATTCCTGAGAGCCAGGAAGAGAGCCTGAGCAGGGACCTCTCCTGCACACTCCACCGAAACAATTCCTCCAAAACAAGCCAACCTTGGGCACGAAAGAGCTTCCCCGGGCTCTGCCTACAGTCCTCTGGACTCCTCAGGGCCACACCAGGCCCCATCCCCGAGCCCCCAGCGGGTCCTGCCGGCCCCACCCTTCAGCTGGTCAGGCAGGTGCCCGCCTCTGACTGGCCTGTCCGGCTCTGCCTGAGGCCCGCCTGGCTGAGGCCTGGCTGGGTTTCTCTGCGGTGTACAGCCCCACCTACTGTCCTGGAGGGAAGCCCTACAAGCAGAAGCTCACCAGCCATCTGGAAAGGGAGCCCTGGTCTGCTCGCGGTGGCGGCCAGACAGAGCAGCTGCTCCGGCAGAGGGGAGAGGTGTGTCTCTGCCCTGCCCAGCCAGCTTCCCAACCAAGACCCCATCTGCTCGGCGGTGGCATCTGAGCCTGGGAGAATGTCCCAGCCGGCTCCCCAAGGGGGCTGGGAGGGTGGCAGCCCTTCCCGTGCTGCTCCAGGAATGAGAGCGCTTCCTAATTCAGCCTGTATTTGCCTGAGATCGATTTTTAATTAAATAAAGCAAGGGCCTGATTAGGACTGGCAGAAGACGGGACAGCAGAATCAGATGGTGTTCTGGCCATACTGCAAAGCAAATACTTTGGCTGGAACAGAGGGGGGGCCCAGAGCCCTGGGCTTCTTCCATCAAAGCACCGAGTGGGGAGGGCAAATACGAGAGAGAGGCTATAGAGCAGGCAGATGTGCGTTGTGAAAATGTGCATCGTCCACGCACGCGTGGAGAAGACGAAGAGCCAGTTCACAGAGCCTGTCGGACTCCGGGGAAGGCACCGGGACTCGGCCTAGCAGCCAAGCCCAGAGTCACAGACAGATTCATTAGCCTTGCGACTCCAGCTCTCAGATGCAATCAGGCGAGGAGCAACGTGGAGCTGAGCATTGGAGCTACCCCAGGAGGCAGGGAGAGGGAGGGAGCTGGGGAACCGAGAGGAAAAGGGGGTCAGAGGCTGTGCTTGGGAGGCTGAGCCACGCAAAGACTGGGGAGCCCGGCCCAGGTGGGTAGGCAGGCCGTTCCCTCTGCGACCCAGACAGGCAGGGACCATGCTCTGACTCAAGCCAGGTCCAGACGTGCATCTTTCCACCCCCAGAACATCTGAAAATCATGGTGTTGTGGAAAGAGCAGCAGACTTGGAGGCCACAGCCCTGGTCCTGTCTTAAAGTGGCGGTGTCAACGTGGTCCTGCTACTCAGCTCTCGAGGTCTCAGTGTTACAGAAAACCGAGAAGAACCAAGCAATACTTAGAGAGACGGAGTTTCATTTATTACGCGAGGGTCCAGGGGAAAATGTCTCTCAAATTCTGGGCCCCAACACAGAGGAATTTTCCCTATTTATATGTTTTTACCTTCTTTGTCTCCCCAAATAGGGGGTGTTTCTGGCCCCCTTTGCAAGTTCTTAAAGAGCCCCTAGGTGCTGGGGCCTTGAGACCTCAACCAAAGGCCTGGCCTGGTGCCAGCACTGATAACCTTGTCTGGGGAAGGTTTAATGGCCTCTCTGAAGTGGGAGTCATCTTATTTTCCTTATTATTTAAGCAAGCATCTACAGAAGCCAAATAGCAGGGTTAAAATTTCAAACAGCAGTTTTTAATATAAGATGGATGCTTCATCAGCTGCTTCATCTATAAAAGGAAGGCAGTGGTCAATAAGATGACCTGTAGGAACTGTCCAGCTCCCCAAACACCTGACGTCCACCATTAGGACCCAGAGGCCCACCAAGTGTTTTAGGAGAATGCCCCGACCTGCCCTGGACCTGGGATTCACGTACTGATGGAGGCAAAGGGGGTGACTGTTGAGGGTGTTTTAGACAGCATCCCACCGTGAAATTGGAGACGGGACCTCTCAAATCCTGCCCCGCCCCGGGGTCCGCGATGGACTCTACACCTGAACCCAGAGGCC